CTCACAGTCTCTCCTGCCCGGGCTGGCTTTGAACCGCGATCCTCAGATCTCAGCCTCCTGAGTAGCTAGGATTACAGGCGTGAGCCACCAGCGCCCGGCTCCCTGTGAGATTCTTATTTCCAGTTAACCAGCAAAATGTTGGAAGTAGAGCTGTGGCTCAAGTGACAGAGCATCAGACTTGAAGGAAAAGCTAAGGGAGAGCATCTCAGCCCTGAGTTCAAGCCCTAGTGCCTGCCCCCCTCGCTTCCCCACCCTAATAAAAAGCAGATTATTCTTTTGTGGACTCTACATTGTGGAAGCTCCTTAGCAATGACATTCGAGCCCAGAAGAGGGCAACTTGGAGCACTCCATTCTAGGAAACAGCGTAAGAAAATGTCTCATTTTGATTGAGAACCAAAGTCTGGTATCACCAGGGCAGTTAGTGACAGAATCTGTTCTAGAATGTAGGTCTTCCAACAGACCTGAAAAGATGGACCAGACCTTCCACTTCATTCTACTGACCTCCAAGCCAGAAGGACCAAGCCTCTGTTCTCCTGTTGTGAGACTTAAGACAGATAGCTTTTCCCTAGGGACACCACTAGAGAATACTGACATGTACCTGTGGCTCACACCTGTATTCCTAGCTACTCAGGAAGCTGAAATTTGAGGATCATGGTCATGGTTCAAAGCCAGCCCAGGCAGGAACATCTGTGAGACTCTTATCTCCAATTTGCCACCAAAAAAACAGAATTAGTGCGGTGGCTCAAGTGGTAGAGCACTGGCCTTGAGCTGAAGAGCTCAGGGACAGTGCCCAGGCCCCAGTTCAAGACCCACAACCAACAACAACAACCAAAATAAGAGAATATTTACCTCACAGGGTTGTAAAGAATAAATGAGGTAACAGATGGAAAAATTACTTAGCTAAAGAAATATGTATTTATTTTGTTCTGGTTGGGTCTAAGTCTGGATCAAAGGAACAAAGGCCAAAGCCAAGCATCAGTAGGATGGTTCATGCCTGAAATCCTAGCTACTCAGGGGACTGAGATATAAAGATCGTGATTCGAAGCCATTCCAACTACTTGGGAAGCATAAATACAATTGCAGTCTGAGCCATTCCAGGCAAAGTCAGGAGATCCTGATTGAAAAGTAACTGAAGCAAGCTGGGTGCTGGTGGCTCACACCTGTAATCCTAGCAACTCAGAAAGCAGAGATCTGAGGAACGTGGTTCAAATCCATCTTGGGCAGAAAAGTCCATCAGACTCTTATCTCCAATTAACCAACAGAAAACTGGAAGTGGAGCTGTAGCTCAAAGCAGTAGATCACTAGCCTTGAGCAAAGAGATCAGGGACAGTACCGAAGCCCTGAGTTCAAGCTCCAGGACTGTAAAAACAAAAACAAAGGGACAGTATCCAGGCCCTGACTTCAAGCCTGAGTGATTGATAAAAATAATAATTATAGAGCTTAGCTTATGACTATAATCCTAGCTATTCAGGAGGCTGAGATCTAAGGATCTCTATTTGAAGCCAGCCCTGGCAGGAAAGTCTGTGAGATTCTTTTTTGTTGTTTTTTGTTGGTCCTGGGGCTTGAACTCTGGGCCTGGTTACTGTCTCTGAGCAATTCAGCTCAAGGCTAGCGCTCTACCACTTGAGCCACAGCACCACTTCCACTTCTGGTTTTCCGGTGGTTAATTGGAGATAAGTCTCACAGACATTCCTGCCTTGGGTGGCTTTAAACCTCGATTTTCAGATTTCAACCTCCTGAGTAGCTAGGACTACAGGTGTGAGCCACCAGCACACAGCTCCATGAGACTCTTATCTCCAATTAACCACCAGAAAACTGGAAGTGGTGCTGTGGCTCAAAGTAGTAGAGTGCTAGCCTGGAACAAAAGGCTCAGGAACAGTACCCAGGTCCTGAGTTCAAGCCCCACGACCAAGAAAAAATAATTATAATAACTGAAGCAAAGACGGCTGAGAGTGTGGCTCTCAAATGGTAGAAGCCTTACCTAATGAGTAGCCCAGAGCTTAAACACCAATATTGCCAAAAATAAAAATGACATGAGCACTTACAGTTGAATATTTCTGACCACTGACTTGGTATCTTTTTTTTTTTTTTGGTCCAGTCGTGGGGCCTGAACTCT